TGGTGCCAGTTATTTTAAAAGATAACGTAAGCAAACAGAATACCCTACTTTTGAGCACCACACCTAATGGTTGACAGTTCGACGAAAACAATAAGCTTTATAACTAGAATATTAGTACTGGTCATCGCATTACTAGCTATTAAAGTTATATGTAGAATCCCGTCGAACTCCCATGATGTCTTACAGAAAGAGCTACATGGATACACAAATAAACTTAATACCTGTGTACAGAAAGCGTTTGTGTAGTCTCCACACCTATCTCTCTATTTGTTTACTGTCATCCTTCTCAATTCTAGTCTCTCGTTCTATTCTTAGTAATCATTTGATTTCACCATCGGATTTTATTTCAGCTATTACCACAGATAATATTGAGCATTCATATGTGATTGTTTAATTTTAAACTCAATTCTTATTCGTCTGTAGCTAGACGTACTCATCAACCAGATTACACTTAGTGGGTTTCTAAATTGTTAATATTTTCGGACAAAATACTAAGACGTTAATTTGACCTACCGCCATTTATTTAGTCCTAGTTTTGTATTTAACTGTAAAAATATATATTAACATAGAGCCATAACAAGAACCTAATTGAGCAACACTTCTTCACTAGGCTTCAGTTTCCGGTCTCTTACTGAGGATATTCAACACAAAAGATATTCTGTTGTAACGCTTGCTCAGATATTCTCTAGCTAAATCTTATTGCTTAGTATTCTTTGACACAAAACACTGGACAAGTTCCCCAAATTCAAAACACGGTTGAACAGGAAAGATTATATTCCAAAATAGCAAGGAATAAGAAGCCGGAGGTGATGGCGAAAGCCAAGGCAAAGAAAGCAAGAAGGCAAAGAATAAATACAACGCTAGTCTATTTATAGCCTTTACATGAGAAAGCTTCTGGAAGAAAATTCACGTGATCGACTGGATTGGATTTGACCAATCAGCATGCAGCTAATAACACGAGAATTTTCTATCCTGTTTCCAAGCTTCGATCAGGCGCTGATTGGATAGGAATTTGTAGATGGTACTATTCGTTAATAACATGTATAACAATGAAGATGAAACTGAATCACAAAACCAGAGAAAGCATAAAGCATTAACTCTTAAATACGGATCCATCTCATTAAATAGTACCAGCAGACACGAAATCTAAATAAATAGTGGCTTTTCTAAAAATTAATATCCAAAAATGTATGATTCTCATAGCAAAACGTTTCTTACAATCAGTCAGTCAGTTGTAACGTAGAACTTCGTACATATGTACATAAGTTCATGTTGCCGTACCAAATCAGCATAGACATGCAAACGTAAAATCAAATCTCACAGCGATAGAGATAGTAGAGGTATTAATGGTAATGGAGAGGACTAAGGTTTGAAGATATTATTTAAGAAGTATGATTCAGAGAAAAAAGTTTAGAAAGTCAAAACTAGAGGGGTTGAAGAATCCAGAAGATTAGGATTTGAGAGAACACAAAGAATGGATGCACCTGCGCCATTGCAAACGGTTTTGAGCCATGTCATTCAAGGTCTCTAACCATCGATTATTATCATCTCGCGGACTCCAACCAGGTAGTCGACAACTACCGACATGGCTAAGTCAACTCGTTAATGACTTCATGGATTTGTGCCATGTTTTGGTTTGGCCGCCCCTAGTTTTCTTCCAACCTATTCCTACACTACAAAACATAGCTCGTCGAGGCAGTCGGTGGTTAGGCATACGCAGCACATGTGCCAACCACCTCAACTGATGAAGTTTCACTGCTTCATCTACTGATCTGCCATCCTTACCTAGTACTCGTTTCCTAACGACAGCATTGCTTACTCGGTTGTCCCACGATATACGAGCAATGCTTCTTAGACATCTATGATCGAATACTAGTAACCTAAGAACATCTTTTACTCTTAACGGCCATGTTTCACAGCCATATAGGAGCGAACTGCTGCGCGGTACACTCGTCCTTTGGTTAGCGAACGGATATCTCGCCTACGCCATCAGTGACGCAGGTTGGCAAAAGCCAATCGAGCCTTCTGTATTCGCGCTGAAATTTCGTCAGTCACCAGGCAATCAGCACTAATCAGACTCCCCAGATAAATGAAGCGGTCAACACGTTCGGCTACTTCATTCCTTATCACTAGTTCAGGTGCCAATGAAACCCAATCTTGAAGCAAAATTTTGCATCTCGTGGGGGAAAACCGCATCCCGAACACGCTCGCATTGTTGCTTATGGTAGTCAGAAGACTCTGCATTTTGTCAGCGTCTTCACCGAAAAGAACTATGTCATCGGCATATAGTAGATCAGTAGGCAAATTTCTTGGTAGAAGGTCAACCCCTGTAAAATCTGACGAGCTTCATGTTAACACTAAGAGGATGTCTACGACAAAGTTAAACAAGAATGGAGAGAGTGGACATCCCTGACGGACACCACTTGAAGTAAAGAATTTCGGTGACAGTTCGCCATAAGCTCCCACTCGACCAGTGGTGTTCGAGTAGAGAGCTTGTATAAGGTTAATGTACTTCTCTGGTACACCTTTCACTGACAGACACTGCCACGGAACCTCACAATCCACTGAGTCAAACGCCGCTTTCAGGTCCACGAAAACAACTATTGTAGGATGCCTAGATATCTGTCTGTGTTCCAGGACCTGTCTTACTGTGAAGATATGGTCTATACAACCACCTCCAGGCCGAAAACCAGACTGGTTTTCTCTAGTCTGTTCTTGACGTGCTCTAGTAAGACGTCTAATCATAATCGAGGCTAACAATTTAGAAACTATATTAGTTAGACTTATTCCCGTGTGATTGTCAAAAGAGGACTTCTGTCCTTTCTTGTAGATTGGGACAATCAGCGACTGAGACCAGTCAGATGGGATTACGTCCAGTTCTCAGATTCTACCTAAGATCTCGGTCAGTCTAACTGTTAATACTGGACCATCATCCTTAAACATCTAAAGGTTAAGCCTATCAGGACCTGCTGCTCTACCTCCCTTTAGATTCCCTATAGCTTTCTCAACTTCATGTAGACTGGGAGGACTCAAATCGATTTGCCTTTCATGATGACTGGGGATCGTGGGCAAGCGAAGTGTGGCTGAAGGCCAGTTGAACTGGTCCCTAAAGTGTTCTGTCCATCGACCCAGTCTCCTGGATTGATAATGGATAATAAGACCATCTTTTTCCGAGATAGTCTCACTCACATTCGGGTTCCTAATACCGGTTTCTTTAATAAGGCGGAAAAGTTGTTTAGTGTTGCCTATCACCGCTGCCTTTTCCATTGCTTTTGCTTTCGCCATCCACCACTGTTCACGGTCGTTACGTAGGCTTTTTATCAGTCTGCGCCTAAACTGACTACGCACTTCATCATATCCAGAGTCACGTGGGATGCGTTTTCAAGCATCCATCAGTTCGGTGGATGCGACTGAAATCCACGGCTACATTCTAGCCTTATGATTTACCTTGCTAGCCGATATCACTGCTGTTTCCGCAGCCTTCTTGATATGATTCCAACCTGCCTCCGGATGGGAATCGCTTAAATGTCTTTCTAGTTGTTCCTGAAATATATTCTTCGCCCTATTGTCATTAAGTAAAACCCTAAGAGGCTTCCTTCCGCTGTCTTTCCTAGATCCGGTGTTTGCTAGAAATAGTTGGTTATCTGGGCACAGTTGCAACAGACGGTCACCATTGTCTGTTCTCTGAGCCGCGACACCATAACATCCAACTAGGTGTCTTTCATTTTGACTCAGTCTACCAACTTGAGCATTGAAGTCACAAGCCATTACTACTATGTCAGAGCGCCTAGCTTTTTGGAGGAGGTCCGAAAGCTTTCTGTAAAACTCATCTTTCACATCGTCTGAACTGCAGTCAGTGGGGGCATAGGTAGATACGATGAAGAGGCGACGGCGATTGCCCCTATCTTTCCGAGTCCTTACTGTCCCGTTTAGTCGGACAGCGCACAAGCGACTATCTACTGGGATCCAGTCAAGGAGAGATTGTTCTGCCCTACGATTCAATGCTATGCCTACAACAGCGAGGACCCGGGAAGCAGCATCAGGGCTACCGGATACACGAAGGGTAAAACGAGCTGCTTCTTTATTTTGACAAGGTGAAATCAGATGAATAATTTTACTAGGATCCTGTATGCGCGTTTCCGAGACGCAGCATACATCGATGGCACGAGATTCTAAAGTCCTAGCTAATGACGCCTGTTGCCCTATTTGACACAATGTCCGTACATTAAATGATCCAATATATAGTCTAGAGCGGGGTTTAAGGAGACCAGGAATGACGTTTCGTGAACTTGCTTCGTTTGCATTAGCGGTGCAGCCAGATAAGGGAATGTGAGTAGAGTCAGTTGTGGAGATAAGAGAGGTATGTGTGGGTGTAGGAAGGATTTGATTTTGACCAATTTGGTCTCGTGTGCTGTTACGGGTATGAGGGTGGTTATCACTTCCCGGCTGCCAACACCGTGGAAGGTTGTTTTTTGAGGGACCTGTAAAGGAAGATAGATTAGTGTTGGTCTTAGAGACCTGGGAGCGTGACCACAGAGTCCAACGGACAACTGCTTGAGGCCGGTCACGCACGGCCTTTTTATGAAAGGGTTTTTGAGTATTAGCTCCGCTTTTGAAAGCCCTTAGTGGGCACTCTTACCGCCGGAGACGGAAATCCGTGAGGTAGTGTGAGGTGTGACATTTTTAGGGTCGACCTTTTCTAACACTTCCTTCCTTGTGAGAAGGCAGCATCGCTGCAGATGCTGGTTGTCCGAGGAAACACCTTACTGCTGTCACACCCCTCTGCAGTCAGCAGTACGACTTCGCCCTCAGACCTTGGGTAGCTGCTTTTAGTCTCATCGCTCTCCAATCGACCTGCCTGGCATGGTAGAACCTTCAGGAACATAAGTTGCAGCGAATATAGCTCGGTTGGGTCATCACGATAGGCAAGCCCGACCACCACGTCAATGTAGCAGCTTCGGTCGGGGTTTCTTACAATGGAAACTCTAAAATAATCACCACAAGAACCCTGAGGACAAGTTACCTATGTTAGATAAGAATTTACTAGTGTCTATTTATTCAATCTTTTTGTGTTGTTTGCATTTGATTCAAATGGTCTTTTTTTCATTTTGTTAGTTCCTGAATCTCATGGTGACAGAAACAAATCAACTAATATAGTAATGGGTTTCATCTACTTCCACCAAATCAACTAGTATTATTATCTTCCATCATCCAAAAAACAACACTATTGTGATAAACATGATTTTCTTGATTAAAGTTAATGAAATCGTCTACTACAAATGACAATGGAAATCAAAAGATGCAAGTATCACAGTAACAAGGACTATGTGATCATGAATATAAACTAGTTACTAATAAAAATGTAAATTACATGATACTAACCATCGATCTTAAATAGAAAGTGTTAGGTGCGGACGTTGACACCAAAACATAGACGACATGCAACCAAACTAAGAGAAAATCCGAAAATAATGTGGGAATATCCGTCAAAGTTATGATTTGATTGGTGAAGAGAAACAACCTTCTATTTCACGCATAACTCGGAGAACGGTCTCCTCATGATACGGTTTACCAACCACTTGAATAGAGAGTGGTAGGTTTTCTCCTCCATCTAATAGCTTGTACACTGCTGACATGTAAGTATCGCCAGAAGAACACAGTGACTCCGATATCATTAACGAATTACGAACATCAACATCAGTGACAAAGCCAGCTGGGACAGCTCCGGCAGGGTAATCTAAGATATTATACAGGAAAGTGTATATAATAGACGGAGAAATATATAATTGCAAGGCGTCTTCTGGTGGTGCAGGATAAGGAAATACAGGGCATATCAATGCATCGAGTGGGCCTGCCTCATTCCAAGCGTTTGCGAATTCGTAACGATAAGCGTTAATTTCATTAATTAAATTAACTGCAGCTTCACTACTGGCAAGTTTTATAAATGAACTTATTGGACAAACTGGTTTTCCAACAAAAAATCTAGAAACCAAACCAATTACAGGTTTTAAAATGTCAGGAATCCCAATAAGAGTGTTGATTAGCCTTAAATGAGGGCTTAGTGGTTCCCCTTGTAGATGACTTCTTAGTTCCTGACCTCCATCTGCAAATAATGCATGCAAGCCGAGGTTAAAAGCTTTATAAGGATGAGGAACTGTGAACTTAACAAGTTTATGCCCAGCACTTTCTAATGCTTTAACTGCATTCTGCACAACTCGTTGATTCACATCCAAGACCTGAATGAGATTGGGGTCGTCAAAATTACTATAATAACCGATTACTAACTGACGTTTGTTTTTGCCTTCATAAGATACTTGGTCAAAACGCATCGGTATAACATACGGATCTAAATCAAACATTGTAGGGCATAATAATGCACGCATTACACAAGCTAAATCGTCCACCTTCTTAGCCATGGGTCCGAAGCAAGGCGATAAGTATAATACTGATTTCTTAGCAGTTGATACAAAACCTAACTGACTCAGTCTCCCGGACGTTGGTTTTAAACCAGCTAAATTGCAAAACGCACAAGGTATTCGGATACTACCGGCAATATCTCCGCCGATACCTACAGGAGAACCACACTGTGCCAACAATACAGCTTCACCTGAAGAACTTCCGCCCGGCATCCTGGATTTATTGAACGGATTTTTCGCATCTTCATAAATACAATGAAAGCTATCCAGAGTGCGACATAACTGAGTTGTCACAGTAGTCACAAAAGGAACTGAACCAGCACTTTTTAGTACCTTAACTAGTACACAGTCTTCATTTACGGGCTGATTGCATAGTTTTATGATCCCCATGGTGGCATCATAACCACGTACTGCAATCCCTTCTTTTATGCTGATGGGAATTCCATATAATCCAGACTCTTTGTCGATGCCCACTGGAGATTTCACCAAGTTAGAGGCGTACTCTTCTGCTTCTAAGATGAAATCAGCAATACCTGAATTTTTGTTATCGTGTAACTGTAATGCTCTAAGTTGAAATGCATGTAGAACATCCACGGGGGTTATTCTCTCCGTTTTGATTTGCTCACAAATATGAGCCAAATTCTCACTACAAATACCGCTTGGTATAGATGACTGGGGCAATTTGGACAGAGCTTCTCTGATTTTCTCCACATTGTATGTAATACGCTTTTGTTTTGATTTTAACAGTTTTCGATTCTGATATGTACGGATATTAGTTATTATTCTCCATGAAACTAATCCAAGACTAATTGCTACTAGTATGTTTCTGACCGGGTGTCGCTTCAGTAAGATAACATACTCTTTAGATATGTTGAGAACAAGATCTACCGTGGGATTTACCATCTATAAAATGACCAAAAATATCGAAATTACGAACTTGATCCATATCGAGAAAGAATCAGCTATTTAGCAATACTTAAAACTTATTTCAAATAACATATAATGCAGAATGGTGTTCCATTAGAAACTAGGCACGAGTAAAAGACCGATATATATTTTTCGGTCTAACTAGTACGGTTACTAATGTATTTCAGCATACACTGAGCATTTTTATCAAGCTATTGGTTAACTAAATCTTGAGGAAACGTTCATCTAACAACTGCCGACGAATTAGATAGCCACACACTGAAACCGCCTTGCCAAGGTAACGCATTGTTACAGTAAGTAATTCTTAAAAAACCTGATAGCATATTTTCTATGAGCAATAATCTAGCTTACTGAACTGATCTGAAAACCGCAGAGAAATAGCGGCTGCTAATCTTTACATTAGTGACATTTAAGTGACACGATGCGTTCAGTGTTAATTCTAAGCGTTACATAAAACATTTATCCGTTTGGTCTCAAGACTATAGGTATCATCATTTAAAACTACCATAATGTTTCCATTACTTGGAAGTTCCCCATTATTCCCCTTTTTGGTTGCTTGTGTTGGACTTATATTCAAATTGCCCGACATTTATCAACTAGACCGACCAAGTTACTTTTAGGAAGATAATTTCTATGCTTAGAGATCGCAAAATAAGATCGTACACTAATTAGTGTGATAAGACTACAGGTAAATATGTACATGGAAACATGGACATTCAGTAATATATCTACGGTAATCCCATAGTATGTCCAAAACTACAGAAGAGATTAATTTAACAACATGTACCTTAATAGAGATGGATAATTAGGGCCTGACGACAACGGCCGTTTTACGAGACGTAAAAACCTAGAGTGCCAACGGCGTTCACAAACGCCGAACGACCTTGAGAAGACGAAGTCAGCTGTTGTGACTAAAGACAGTGAATAATGGATTGGTTACGACAGGCAATCCAGAAACGACAAAAATTTCAGTATAAGGTTGAACTTAAAAAGGAGTGATGATGAATTCGCGATTCGCCCATGAGTATAATCGAATAACTATTACTAAATATGGTGGACGAACAATGAGGTAGTACATAGATAAGAATAAAATCCTCCATGAAACTCAGAACGGGTTTCAGAAAGGCAGGTCGTGTGCATCTAGTCTTCTCATTGCATGGGACAGTTGGACATCCTGTTTAGACCGAAAAGTACCGGTGCACGTAATATTTCTCGACTTTGCAAAAGCCTTTGGCACAGTACCTCACGCACGCCTAATCGAAAAGGTTGTGGAAATGGGCTTCACCGCCACGCTCGTATCTTGGCTCAGAAACTACCTTGAGAATACAAAGTTTCTTACCAAGGTAAATAGAGTGCATGTGAGCTGGCGAGTATCCACATCGGGAGTTTCACAGGGGACCATCCTAGGCCCACTTCTCTTTCTGGTATTTATTAACCACCTGTTAGACTCAGTTAGCTCACCGGCATTGATCCACGCAGACGATGCAAAGATCTGTGGGCCTATTAGAGGCGAACAGGATTCGGCTCTACCTTACATCTATTGAGAAATGGGCAGTGAAAAACGGTTTAAAACTCAACCAACCAAAGTGCCACGTCATGCATATTCTGCCTCACACTACGCAAACGATCTATACCCTCAATGGAAGTCCGCTTCCTAACGTCTCCTCAGAGTGCGATCTCGGTTTAATAACCACAGAAAGCCTCCACACCAGTCTAAACTATGTAGGGTACGCAGCCAAGGCAAATGCGACTCTTCACTTTATGCGAAGACAACTTGGTGCCCTCACCCCGCAATCATTCTTGACCCTATTTAAGACGTACGCGCGCCCACACCTCGAGGTTTATAACGTCATCGCACCCCTTCTGCTTAAAAGGGACATTAATCTCTTGGGTCGAGTGCAGAGAGGGGCAACCAAACGCTTGATAGGGTTGACAAATAAACCTTACGACGATAGATTCACGCTCTTGGGATTATTTCCACTGAGCTACAGGAGAATCAGAGGTGATCTGATTATGGCGTACGCCATATTAAACACGCCAAATCATCCCAATGTGAGCAACTTACCGATGCATCACCACCACTCCCCTAGAGGCAATCCTCGAAAGATTGCACATCAAAGAGCGAATACTCAGATTCGTGCACACTTTTTCTCATTGCGAGTCGTCGCAACTTGAAATGCTCTCCCAGTCGAGGTAGTTACAGCCCCCTAAGTGGACTGCTTTAAGAAGAGACTTGATAATTACGTACTCATACACGGACTATCATCTCTCTCTTGGACAAGCTGTTCATGATGAATATCTCGATACCTGCTAGTTGTTACCATTGCCATCTCCTCAGATCACTTATTTAATCTATCTCGCCTCTCATCTTTGTCCTCTCTCACAATCTTCACTACCGATCAACAAACCGAATTCATCTATATATTACTCAGTTGTGAAATTTTATTCATATTAGCATCAGAACTTTATCCTTATTACCCTTATTACTCTCCACATTTCAACTAACTGATCTCCGGTTTGGTAATATGATGGCTGCTAGTATCCAGAAACCCTACTGCCCTGAAACAAACGTTTTCATTCAAATCCCGAGACATACAAATTCACAACCAACTGTCAACTGACTAGAATTAGACAGTCGAGTGGCTAGACCTCCATCCATTGGACATTACCGAACACCTGAAACCGTACCGAAAGAACAAGAATCGAGCGCGAAGAAATCAAATTGGTTTACAGTAGCTCGTGAAAAAGATATTGGATATTGGATTCCAGTCGTCTAAAGCTATCTACAAAAGTCTGTTACGGACTAATAACTGTCAAGCACTCGAACTTACCAAATGAATAAAACAATACGATGGAGGAGAGAGCCTAAAAGGGAATTTTAGGTGACGATTCAACAGTATCCACCCACTGAATGAACGAGAGCCCACCCGAATATACTCGATAATACAAATCAGCTACAAGTTCAAGGAGAAATATTTTAGCTCTATGTAGGGTGTACCGCATTTCCTTACCATTCCTCTTGAAAAGTAATCAAATTCATGTACAGAATACTGGAAGTGCATTATTTCGATTACCTGAAGTACGTGTACTTTTATGTCGGACCCACAGTGCTTGTCCCACTTAGGATAAATAAACAAATCCATTCTTCCCGAGTAACGCACACACCTTTTCATCTTTTCAACCATTTGACTTTATCTTTGTTATTTCTATTCGAAACTGTATGTGCACCGCTTACTATCTCTGGCTATAAATACTGAGTCATGTTTTATCACAAGGAGTTGGCTTGGTCGCCTTCTCAGTCAGCTTTGCTTTGCTTTCACGCTTCGAATTGCCATGTATGTCTGCATCAACTTGTAGTGGTATACTTTTACAAAGAAAACACAATTGCTGAATTATAAACATTATTGTTGTACTTAATTCTGACAATGATTGTTATATTATACACCTCTTGTTTATCTGTACTAACGACTATCTCTCGCGCGCCAAGCGCTTTATCCTCATTCTCGTCTTCGCACGTCTCCTGCGTGGACGTTAGCCGTTTGTATGCCCTCTGAAGTCGATATCAATTTGATATCACGAGTCTAGCATTATATATACTTCTTCAACTAGAATCAAGTATCGCGATTACATTTGTTATCCCGCGAAGTAGTTTATTACCCGATTTGCCATAAACGATTATTAGAAATAAACTCATCATACTGAATTCGCATCAAGCTTTTTATTAACTTTTAGGTTAAGAGCGGCTTCTGAATTGGAAGAACAGTCCTAGAAGTTTAGACACGCGCCTCTCCCAGTTACTCCAGAAAGAAACCAATTTATCTGAGCAAGAAACGGTCCTATTATTAATTAAAATTTACAGATCATTACCCAAACAATATTACACTGCTCTACCTCCAAATTAACACAATGTGTTTCCGATTCTGGAAGAATGCTTCCGTTTAGGTTTAAAATTGCACCCTCCGAATCCAGACGAACGTTTCACCTACCAAGGTATCGATTTCGATATGGCTGACGCCTTGATTAAGTATCAATTTAGACAACATAATACTGTTCAGTAGAAAACGTAGAAACTCCAATAAAGGTACAAAAATCAGAAACTATAACAAAATACAAATATAAACATCACAAAATGAGCTCAAATAGAGTACCAAAATGTTGAACAGAAAAAGACAATGAGAACATATTACATATATGTACATGGAGGGATTTTTCCCAAAACAAAGCCTTCAAAATGGATACTACACTGGCCTGCAAAATCCCTCCATACATAGCAAAGTTCTTCAGATGGCTCAGATCATTGTTCACTCTCATAACCTAATCCACACCAGAATAACGGGTAGGACTTACGGTAATACGCCTATCTGCTCTCCAACATGGATATGACCTATCAAGCTCACTATGTTCCTGTACTTTCCTATCAGGTTCTTAATTCCTCTATCTATCTTAGCATGACCTTAAGGTCGCATAAACTTCATCCAGGTAAACCACAAGAACCTGCATGGCACGTTGTAAGGCTGGTCACCTCCCATTCGGGATTTACTCTCCATATTATGATGAGGATGATCGTTAATCCACCACCACTTGTTCCAAACGGCAGACACGATGCAGTCAATGATGCTGACTTATCAATGGAAGTCCTTGGCCCATAAATAATACGCAAGGGTGGGATCTCCAATTTTGACATTTCATCGTCTCCTAGTATAGAGAAGGTGTGATCACCTTTCATCATCATCAACAAATCATTTGACTCATTAATGACATCAGTATTATAATCATCGTCATCATCATTCATATCTATCGGACCAGTCGTGTTGTTTCTGCTATCACTCGCAACAGTTGAGTGAAACTCTTCCATTGTTGTGTAACTCACTGCGCTAGATGAAAGAACAGTATCAGTATCACAATTCGAAACTGGTAAAATCACTTGTTGTTCTTCATGTTCCATTTCAGAAACAAATGTCATGTGCCCATCAGTAGTAGCTTTATCATGCGGCACTGTGGACTGGCGTTACCAACAGACACTTTCTCATCATCACCAAACTGACCGTCAATCGGGGAAGAAACAGTTACATTTGCACAACCTCTTGCATCTTTGAACAACCTCACATTTGCGGCAGGGTCCGAAGACGACAAAACACTAGGAGGTTCATTCGATGAAGTAGATCGATTAGTCACCATAGACAGATTGCTCACACTTGCGGTCTCACTACAACCACCGGCACTATTACGATTCTGATGACAACTGTTCTAATTACTAGTCACAGCATCCGAACGAGAACGAAGTTCACGCTTCTTGATCGGGGCAGCATCATGTCGTTTCTTCTGTTTCTCACTTTGGGTAGAAGTATGTGAACGTATTGTACGCCCACTACGATGTCGACGAGTATCATTCGATGTCCCTCAACTACTATTAACCGCAGGATTATTGTCAATGTTATAATCTTTAGTAGCCGTAGCAGTAGAAGTACTCTTTCCATGACATCCATTCGACTCATGTGCAGTATCCAACTTAACTCGACCAACGCTACTTCCCTTACTAGGAATGTCATTCACCTCATCTGTCTTATCACTGCTGGTAGAGCATATTCCGGGACTTGTGGTACAAGTCAATGATGGTGGAGTGCGACAGGTGGACAATTCCATGCTCGATTCCTCTTGCACACACAACAGCATGTCATTGAAGCCTAGATGACTCCTTATTACACTCAGAACACTGATTGTGAGCCTTCTCAGCGGTATCATTACCGTGGCTGATGCTATTGCCACAATCGCCTACATTCTATGCGCTCAGACATCCAATCTCCAGCATCTCATAATATACAAAATAATTCGGATACGATATTCCTTAATTAGAGGCTATGTTCAAATTGACATTATTTTGAAATAACTAGTCCCATTTATAAAATCATGAAAAAAAACAAGTCTAACTCAGAAAAGTGATGCGATTGTTTAAATTTCAAACAAATCG